AAAACCTACAAAATCTTCATTGCTTTCACTGTAATTTATTTCTTTATTATTTAGAGAGTATTATAAATAGTGTTACGACAGCGGAAGTCACGTGACACTAATAACACGTCATGAGCTTCTAGAAAATGCATGTCCCTTCGTGAAGCCTCGAGTGTATACTAGATATGCGGTATTCTTGTATATAAGACCGCCAAGAAGTGACGGCAAGAATGGAATTGAATTGCAGACAGAGATAGATACGGACAATTGAGTCAAGCGCGTGAGTCGTTCGTTGTGAATTATAGCATGTGCTATAGCGTGACTGTGGAAATTAAGTGTATTGCAAAGTTTTATTCAGAAAGAATAAACTAGTTTTATTTAAGAAAGGACTTGTATCGCTAAAGCTTCTTCGGAAAGAATTTTTACGAAAATTAACAAACGAACACAGAGACGAAACAAATTGGTGTCAGAGAGTGGGACTGACGAAAAAAAAAAAGAATGGTAACCAGAAGCGGCAAATCAAACTACAGCTTAGCAGATTTGATGGCAGCAATACAAGAACAGCAAAGAAAAATGAAGAACGAGAAAAGAAACAAGAAGAGAGATTACAGCAGTTGTTGGAGGAAAAAGAAAAGAAACAAGAAGAGACAACAGCAGTGGCAAGAAAACCTGCAACAGTGGCAGCTCGAACAACAAAATAAACAAGAGAGATTACAGCAGTTGTTGGAGGAAAAAGAAAAGAAACCAGAAGAACGAGAAAATAAACAAGAAGAGAGATTACAGCAGTTGTTGGAAGAAAAAGAAAAGAAACAAAAAGACAAATTACAGCAGTTGTTAGAGGAGAAAGAAAATAAACAAGAAGAAAAATTACAGCAGTGGCAACTGGAACAAGAAAGGAAACAAGAAGTACAAACGGAAAACATTAATAAATTTCAAAGCGAATTAAATACATTAAAGGAGGATACATTAACCATCGATTTAATCAGCCCCAGACAACGGGAAGCCCCTTCCAGACCCCGCAGCTAAACACTAATGCAGACACCTTCAGTCCTGTTAGAAGTCACATCCCAGATATGAATGTTAGTAATAGGAGTGATCCAGTATGAAGGAAGCCATAGGAATTCGATTGGAAGGCACTGTGGGAAGCATATAGAGCACAATTTGAGCTATGGAACTCAAAATTAGTCTGAAGTCTACAGGGCTAGGTTTAGAACGAGAGTCCATGCTAAAGAGGAAAGCCTGCAAGAGCTGGCACAGGACTTCGAAACTATGGCACACAAGGCCTACAAACTG